TGATGTTGGTATTTTGTTCTCGATGATTTCGCCAGCGGTGGTTCCGCAATCATTAGTTGGACCTTCACCTTGCTTGGAGCCGAAAAAGCCACTTCCAGATTATGCTGTTCGTAGCCTGTCCTACAGCAGTAGTGAAGACTCGATGGAAGAAGCTCCTGAACCTGTCCTTACTCCGTTAGGCTCATCGCCATCAGATACATCCATGGCAACGTCCCAAGCGTCCATCGGGTACGTGTGTCCTCTCGAACCTTCCATGCGACCCTCAAGTTCGGTTCATAGTCTCAGAACTCGCCTCATGGGGTGGTGGAAAGACAATTAGCCAACTCACACCAAACATTAGAGTTTGGTACAATAATTATGATTCGAATGTGAATACGATGCGTCAGCGATTGCCCACGACATGGACCTTGATGGCCAGACGGCGCTTTGTCACACAACTCAACCGTTCGTGGCCAGATTGCGACAAAACTTTATGTTGGGCCAGCACTTCGACAATATTCGGTAGTTCTACCATGCAGCGACTCTTGTAAATGAATCAATCGACCGAAGCGATCTGGACGTTGGAGCAGAGACGAGTGCACGGGACAGAAAAGCTTAACGAAAACTGAAGTAGACGACCGACTCCTTCAAGTAACGTGGCGAATTCCTTGAGATGGTTTGCGTTGGCGGTTCCGAATCGAAGAACGCGTCATCCAGAGCAAGTGGTGGAGTCGAGATACACGTTTCGAGTCCATACTCGACGTTGGGAATCAAGTCGATGGATGGTGCGACAGCGTGTGCCGCTTTCCACGCTTCAGTGACTTGCTTTTTCACCTGGCGAGGCTTTATTGGAGTTGGGGCGTCGACACCGACGAGCTGTGATGCGTCATAACGGTTTGACGAGTGTGGTTGCCCATGTCGCCGCACGATGGCTTGCCTGTCGACCGACTCGAGCTCTACAGCGTCCAAACTTGGAGCATGGTTGGCAACACGGTGAATTTCGTGTTCCAAGCGAACGGTTGATAGTTTTTGCGCCGTGCTCGCATGTGTTCTGGTCTCCAGAACTGTGTTCGCTTGATGAACGAAGTGAATCGTTCGCTGTGGGTTCAAGAAGTCAGGGTCTATCCGCCGCGAGCGTACTGCATCTTGCTGTAGTGTTGAGCATTGCTGTGGGTATCGTGGTGCTGGATGCTGCTGCGGGGGTGCAGTCCGTGGCAAGGCGTCGTCGTCGTCCATCTCGATTGTGCTCTTATCGCGGGTGGAAAATCATCCAATCCGAAGCGGGTCCACATAAAATATTTTGATAATTCCAGTTAGCACAATATTTTCACTATTTCAGGAATAGCACCTAGTCGTGGCCAAGCAAGAAGAGAATGGTAAATAGCCACACGCCTGCCATCATCGAGAAGGCCGAGGCGTAGTAAGGGTAGGCCGCCGGGAGGAATCGTTCATACTCGTCGTGCTTGAATGGCCGAACGCTGACCTGGGTCGTCCAGTGGAGCACCGAGTACCCCACCCGACGGTACATGACTCGGAACTGGAAGATGCCGTACACGTCGGGGGCCGTGAATGTTGCTGAGAAATGGCCGTCACCGTTGTGGGCCAACGTCTTGCGCACGTACGGATCCAGCATGACGAATTCAAGCTGCATGTCGTCGGCGGCAAACGGAGTCCATGTGCCATCTTCTTGTCGCTCATGCACGTCAAATGAATACGTCACGTTGTCCTTGATGCGGTAAACCTATGCCAGACACGGTCAGACTTCACAGGAGATGGAGAAAACAACACCAACCAGAGAATTTCGAGCCACTTCGGCGTCCGGGTAGAGAGTAATGGGCTGATCGGGACGGTCGATCGGACCTAGCATCGTATCTGGCAAGGACCCGTCTTCCTTGGAATGATGGACATTGGAAACGCGCAGGACACCCCGCTCGCCGAATGCCCACTTCGTCACTGCCTCAACGAAGGCGCCGTTACCATAGCTCGACGAGGTCGAACAGTACGTGTCCTTGAATAAATCCACGGAGCCCGTGAAGATCACGCGTGCATTGTTCCTGGCTTGAATGGCTGTGACGAGAGCGACATTTGTCCCGAACGTTGCAGAGGTAGGTTCGAGAGGATGCTTCGTAGGAGACGCCGAGTACGCCGTTGGTTCCGCTGACAGGACCTTGACGCCAAGAACATTGGTCGCATCCAGCGCCATGCCAATGCCGTTGAAGAAAATTGGCTTTGAGGGATGGCCTACCACGAGCGGTGACTGGATCCATCGTTGGGTTGTCAAATGGGAGTGGTAAACGTCACTCTTGTCTCCAACGTGATGCACGTGATCCATCACAACTGTTCCTTTCTTGTCGTACGCGACTCCCAAAGCCGCCGCGAACTCGCGCAACATGGTCGACAATCGCAAGCTTCCCGCAACGATCACATTCCCGCCCTGCTCGACAAACGACAAAAGCGACTTTTTGTCCAGCACAGTTGCTCCTAATGTCGTGAGCGATGGGGCCAAGATCACGACATGATCGTATTGTAGCACGCCATACGAGAACAGGGCGAAGCTGGGAGACGACTGATGGAATAATGAAACTTCATGTCCTCGTTCGTGCAGGTGACCAAAGTACACGCCAAAGCTGTTCGATGTGGCAGTCTCGTGCTCTTCCAGAAAGATAGCAACGCGGGCAGCATGTGCTACGACTGCAAGGATTGCAGCAACAGCCAGAACTAGCCGCCGAATCTTGGACGCCATGTCAGCGGCCTCTGTGTGGTGCTCTTGGGAATTATAAATTTTGTCAGTATCCGGATAAGTAGACATTACACAGGACATTTGACTCATGTGATAATAAATATCTTTGATGCACACGTCACTATACAATTGTTGGAGTTGAGGAGGCGGTGGAGGCATTGGACGAGCCGACGCACGACGAGTCGAAAGAAGATGACAAGGAATAACGCGCTGCGAGGTGGCGCAATGAAGCACGCTTTACCATGAGCTCCGTGTGGAATCGCGCCCAACGGGCGCGAATGAGGGCATGACGCTTCTTGGGGAGAGGCAAGACGTGCACGAGGAAGTCAGTGATGTAAGCTGCGCCGACGGGTCGAAACAACTTTACCAAAAACGCAAAGAACGTGGCACCTGGCATGCGGGACGTGCCGTACTGTTTCGAGGTCCACAGAAAGCTTTGAAATCGTTTGGGGTTGTGCTCGCAAGCCAGCCAGACAGCATCCAAAATCGCTTGTTGGAGGACGTCGGCGGCGACGTCGTCCGAATCCACCACAGTAATCACATTGGCGTCGATCACGCGAACCATGGACCGGACAAACAATTCGTCGACTACGATCCAATCTTGATGCGACATCTTGCTTGGGACTTGGGAAGGCAACGACGCTTGGGATTGCAAGATGCGGTAGTGGCCGTGGATGTACTGGGTCGTCGGAAGAAGGTAGTTCCACATGAGGTGTCGTGGGGGGCCATCCACCAGCGACGGTAGAGACTTCCACGGCGCTACTGTTCGAACAGTGTGTCGATGGTCGTTCGTGACGAGGGTGATTGTCACATTCAGCATCGTGGCAAGCGTTTGAAGCGCCAGCGCTCCGACACGAACCTCACTCGGCTTCTTGGCAACGTGAAATGCCTTCTTCACGTCAATGACGTTCATTCCGACGCAGGACGCGATGGCTTCTGCGTGCAAAATCCCGTAATTCGCCATGTATCTGCGCAGTTTGTCTGCAGCGGCCGTCGCTGGACTCGTCGGCGCCATCCGTTTTCGTCGAGTGTCGTGGGTACCAAGATGCTCGAGGGAAGTTAGTTCGAGTTGCATGTCTTCTGCCGTGTACAGCTCTTGGACGAGGCACATGTACGCGGTGCGAATGTCGAGGGCGTCTGGGAGGTCGGTCAAGTTCCATGGCACTACTTGGAGATGCTTTGCTGCCAAGTACGTCTGCATTCCGCGATGACTGTCTCCGATCGACTGAAAGTGACATTTGCATCCGTACGCGGAGCACAAGGCTATGCCTCGAGCGGCATCGTCCAGGAGATAGCTCTGGAGCAAGTCGAGTTTGTCTTTCTCGACGACCCCTAACGACGGATTCCACACCGTCACTTGGAGCTTACCGCCAAACCCAGCATCAAAGTTGCAAAAGTATCGTATGTACGGCGGCGCGTGAATGTCCAAAAAGTGGAGCAGGCGCAGGGATGAACCGCATACCGCTTGCAAATACGCTTCCAATTCGCCAAGGCGCTGGGCCATGAATGCTTTGGTTTTGTGTTGAAAAAGCCATCGCTTTCGTCGATGCAGACGCAGAGGTGCGATGGCAAGCATAGGATGTTGTTCGACGATTTCTTTCACGCCAGGATTTGTCGAGGTGGTCTTTCGCCACCACGAGAACAGCGGCGGCGGGGGCGGCATCGCCTCGTCGTCAGCATTTTCGTTGGCATCGGCAGTTGCCGTCTTGTGGACGGGGATTTGGCGGAGTTGGTAGTCGAGGACTCGGAACTCGTCGAACGTCCTCCATGTTGTCCATGTCGACAAGAACGCCATGTGAGGGAATTGCCGACAAGTAAACACCAATTCCGTCGAGATGGCATACTCAGGATGGACCATGATCGAGTCGTCGAAGCGGTAGGCGTGCACGTGAACCGTGCACTTGTGGATCGTGCGTATGTCGTTCACGCGGATCGTGACGCGTTGGTGGCTGTTGGGGTGTAGCCACCGCACCGCGCCTGCCCTCGACAACGGCGGTTTGACCGAAGGGGATCTGGCCTCGGTCAATGGCGACAAAGACGCGGAGGACGACGATGGGGGCGGCGCCATCGGCGACGATGCAGAATGGAATCGAGTCAGTCGCGCCAGGCTTCTACACTACGCCAATCTCATCCCGTGCCGTCAACCTGCATGTAACACGGCATCTGTACGTAATGTCGGCATCAAGGAACACGGTGTTGGCCAGCGTATGTTTTCGAGTGCTGCCAATTGTCGTGACAAGAGTGACCTTTGATGTCGCCCGTCGCGACGACATTGGCTCGGTCATATCTTGGCGCGACTGGGCTGACTGGACGCTAGCTTTGCTAGTGTTTGTGCAGCAAAGGACTTGCATGTAGGTCCGGGACTGCCATCAAACACTCGTAGAATCCGCACGATTGACTTGAACGTGTTGTAACCCATGCACCCTTGCCACTCAAGATCACCCTGCCTCGCCCATCGAACCACGATGATCGGTGGATTTGGGTCACGGTAGTGGTCTCGTCGGTCGCCCGCTCCCTGTGCTCTCGCTTCGTCTGACCGCCCCCATCTGCATTTGATGGACGGCAATGCGGAAGAGGGACCTGCTATGGTAATTTGGCTCGCGATCACTCAGTTCGTGAGTCGGTGTCGCCAGGCACCATAGCGAACGGAGCGTGCCCCGTACGGCCACGTTTGGCTACGCGTCGCTGCACCCAGGTTGTACCTTGCGGAAGTGGAGGTCCAACTCAACTACGTAAACGTAGCGGGCTGTCTAGTCTTGACAGAAAACTATCGAAACGGGATGGCCCTGGAACAACACCACGATGGGCTTCCTCAACGACCTCAAGCCGGATGCTCCCGTCTGCACGACCGTTCCACACTGGTCTCGAGCTGCAGCCAGGAACACACCACCTCTCCAGCCATGGATTCGAAGGACGGAATTGTTACTTTTGATTCACACTAGGACGTTAAAGGACAACGTAATTGTTTGTGGCCGCCATGTCGTCTTCTTCCGGCATCGTCCACGACGTTTTGCCACACGACGGGTTGTAGTAGTACATTTTGCCAGACACTTTCGAGTGCACGGAGGTCCATCCTTCTGGATGGTTGTCGTCTGCGTCGGTAGGGGCGGCAGGGGTGAAGCTGCTATCTTCCAAGAAGCTCACAAACCCACCTCGGGAAGACTCTGGGTATGGAGGCACGCCATCGTGGAGGGACGTCGACTCGACCGACGATTCCTTGACCAACGACGGCGGCGGCGGAAGCACGGGGCTGTCGGCCAACTTAACGTCCAGCACTTTAGTGGACGTTTCCTGCACCCGCTCCATCTGGTGCTGCAACTGCTTAAAGTTTTCGTTGATGCGGTCCATGGCGTCCATCAACGTCGGCGGCACCACGACGGCACTGCTGGTTTCGTCTGGAGAAGTGGTCGCGACGGCAATGGCCTTTTCACTTTCAACCTTTTCCAGCGTGTGGATCTTCTCGTTCATCGCTTCGTTCACTTGATTCAGTTGGATCGTGCCTTCTTGTACTGTCTCCATTTTGTGCTGCAGCCGGTCAATGTCTGCATTTAACTTGAGCACGACAAACAGGTTTTCGACGTCTGGAGGGGTGTCCATCACTGACGACACGGCACGGGGGTACAATGGCTGACTTGGCGGCGGTTGAAAGTCCGTCGCCGCGATCGACATCCGCGTCATGACGCCCTGCTCTTGCTCCTCAAGCTTTGCTGCCGTCAGGTGGACCGATTCCTTTACAGAGGTCATGCCTCGATCAATCTCCGCCAACGTCATTCGCGTCGCTTCCAGGTAGTCCTCAGCAGCCAAGTGCGACGGTCGACAGTCCAAATCAACGTCGTCGTCGCCACGACCGTCGTCATCGACCTCGTTGTCGTCTGGAATTGGTGCCACGGCGTGCACTGGGTGGGCCAACGCATCCACAAAACTTGACCAGTTCATATCGCATTCCTCCGCAACAACATCGTGGCGGTGGTGAAAGTCGTCATCGTACGCATCCACATCCAGTTCGCTCATGCGCTCCGACATGTCTGAATTGCGCACCGTGACGTCGCTCAACGCTTCACTCAGCCGACCAAGATCTTGATTGGTCTGAGGCTGAACAATCGAGACGTTCATGTCGAGCAGACAGAGGCTTGACGGGGGGGTGGGGATGCTAATTGCAGTTTGCTTGATGTGGCTCACTCCCAAGTCGAGGCCTTCACGTGGTGGCACAGCTTCTACATTAGCGTATTCAGTCAGGTGCTTATTCGGTAACCATCCTGTGCACGTACGCTCCATGTCGGAGGCGAGGGTGCTGTCCTGGTTCGCGTTTGTGGACGGCCGTGTCGACGCATTGGACGCCACGGATGTCCGGGTCGTGCTGGTCGTGAAGCGCATGTTGTCGCTGATTCTCCCATTGGAATCTCGTTGAACATGCGACGTCGACGTCGGTGTCGTCGACGGCCCAAACGACCCGTGCCGGTGCATTGGGTCATACATTTCCGACTGACTGCGCCGGTATGTTGTCGTGGGGAGGTTTGGGTTGACAGCCACGTAGTGGTGGTTCTGCCAATCTGGATGGCTCTGCGAATGGTTGTACGATGGCCCGTCCGAGCTCAACTTGTCGCTCGCGCGGGCTGTCGACGCCATCGACGACGACGAGGATCCGCGAAGATTCGTGGGAAGGAGGGAATTCGACGGCCGAGACGACATCGAGTTGTTGTTGTGTGGACTGAGGAAACTTCCCGCGCTCGACGGTCGACTCGCTATGGACTGGTTGGAAAAGAAGGCAGCCGTGCTGCCAGAGCATTGGAGAGCAGTGGACCTCGCCTGGATGTTGCACCACACGCACACCCGCGTTTTCGTTCGCTTTGGCCCGATCAACTGGACGAGGCTGCACTGATTGCACACGACTTCGCCGCACGCCTGGCAATTGTACTTTTTCCGAACGAGGGAAAACCCCCGAGTGCAAATCACGCAAAACGACCGCTTGCTGCCACCAAGATGTCAGAGACTCGACCTGTGCAAGGGATGGTCGTACCTGGCCGGAACGAAGTGGTGCGGCGGGACCCACTGTAGCGTACTCAGCCGCATCTGCTCAAAGTAGTCCCGGATACACTGTCCCCGCAACGCCGCCAGGTCGGACATTTTGTTGACGACCCAGGCGGGAAGTTTGCCGGCGTGGTCACCCAGGATCATCGATCGCAGCTCCACCTGGAAACTCGACAAAGGTGACGACGACGACGACCCGTTCGACAGGACACTCGCGCGGGACGTCGGGTTACTGTTCGAGTCGAGACTGTGGAACGTGTGTAGGGTAAATGTTTTGGCTCGCACGAAGCGATGCGATTCCTCCAGCGATGGAAAGCCGTACAAATCGATTGACTTGGACAGCCGGAGACCGACACGGACATTCTGATCGTCCACAAACGAATCCACAAGCTGCGAGACACACCAACGTTATAAACAGCGAGTTAGAAGGACTGGCATGACGTACCTCGATGTAAACGTAGTCGCGAGGCTTGGTCGGTGCCGCGACGGCCTTGAGACAGTGCCACTTGATGCACACGAAGCGCTGCGATGTGTATTCGGAAGAAAAGTCCCGAGGGTGCAGGACATGCAGCACGGCGCCATCGAGAAATTCGGCACCATAGAGTGCGGCCTCGCGTTCTCGGAACACCTCCGTCGTTTCCGTGATGAGATGGTCCATCATTTCGTCGAACGAAGCATTCACGGTGCACACGGTCCGGACAGCGGATTGGTTGGACAAACTGTTGACGTCGTCGGCAGCGCGAGAGATCACGACATCCGCCTTCTGCTTGACGGGTTGCCAGCGGATGTTGCCCAGGCCGTTAATCAAACAGAGCGCGTTGTCGACGGCGTCGTCGATGTAATTGATGTACGCTGCAATTTCGTCTCGTTTCAAAGGAGAGAGACTCGACAACGCTTCAGCAATCGCGCTCTGTCGCGGCGGCGGCGGAATCGTCATGCCGCCAGGAGCAATCAATGCCGAAGTCAGTTCCAGCAATTACTGCGTTGCGTGATGGCAGAACCTCGCTCTGGTCATATAGACGACAATACCATGTGGTTGGTACGACGAGGAATTTTCCCAGTAATCCCGTTTTCACAACCAATCGGTGGTCTCGGGGGCAATCCGGGAGCATGTACGGTTCGGTATCGTTCAAAACATCTCAGTTGCGGCAGTAAGTGTGGTGAGCGAAGAAATCACCACCCCATCGAGCCAAATTTTGTCAGATCTGATCACAGAATGTAGGTTTCATATTGATTCTGATTTAACTTGGTGTGTAAAGCAGTGGCGGCCAAATCCTAATGCGATAAAATGATCAAAATCTCTCGGTGCGAAATCAAGCACCTTGCAATAATTTGAACGATACGGTAAAGTACGCACATATCTTCAATTCCCACCACGCGACCACGTATTGGGACGCTATAAGGTGTCGGTGGTGGTTGGTTGACGACGGTACATTGAAGGAGGTTGCGAGCTACCACCGAACAAGATGGTGCATGCTGCAACGAACAGTTCCTGCGAAAGCACCGTCGTCGAGTGTACGGTAACGAATGCTAACTTCCGTTTGGGTGCGAAGCGGACAAGTGGGATAATTCCCCGTGAGTGGCGATTTTCATGGCATAGAATTTGCCCAATCAAATGCATCAAACTGCACGCCATGCGTTTACAGAGTGTTGGAGAGTTTCTACGGGGAGAATCGAACGATAGCCAGGTGCGCCGTCCACATAAATCTGGACGAGCCCTCACCTGGGGGGCGTGCCCGTTGTTCTCGATGACTGTGCTGTTGTCGAACCATGGAGCACGTGTTTTGATGGTACGATAGCATTTGTGTCGACTGGAGGCGTCGTTCTTGTGCCTGGCAAGGTCACAGTCAAGTGATGGCACCAGCGCGTTCGGGCAATCTGAAACAACCATGATAGAGGAATGACTCGGTTTTACAATGCGCAAGTGCGACAAGACTGCGATTGTTTGTCCACACCATCTTGACGCTGCAATCGTCGCCAATAGGGCTACAATCTGCAGCAGGCAGCGAGCGCTATGTTGATAGTTTCAACCATACAAGTTGTACACTCGACTGTGCTGCGGTCGTCCCATTTTACGTGTGATGATGGAACATGAAGTGTATTACGCGCATCCAACCATATGAACCCTACTCTTCGGTTCCTTCTTCAGGCGGCGTCGGGTCCACAAGCACATCTGCCTGTTCGACCAAATTTGTAAACTTGAGGATGTTGGTGTCGCCTTCGGGGGCAATGCCAAAGTCAATGGCGAGCTTTCGTGGCAACTGAATCTGGTAGTCCACGCCAAACTTTGCCTTGAGCCCATACCCCACGTACACGTTCAGGAACTTCTTGCCTACGCCAATGCTGACGGCCCCGGGCCACGTCAGCGATCTCGCAATCGCCAATTCGCCCACCGCAGCCGACGTAGTAGACGGCAGTCGGTCGACTCGCCACGACCCCGGCTTGTCTTCCGAAATGGCCCGTAGGGGTTCGGCAAATTCCTCGCCTTCCCACGGGACTTCTTCGCCGTCGTCGTTGGTGTTCGGAGGCATGGGTGTCGACCGGCCGTATTTCTCGTTGAGTTCTTTCGTATAGTGAACCCAATTGCTTAGATCACCTAGCTCTGCGGCAGTTTTTGGCTCGGGGGCCTCTTCCGGCACTTCCAGCTCCCCTTCTTCTGACACTGTGAAAAAGCCAGCGGGGCACAGAACTGTGCCCGCATTGATTCGAGCAATTTGCGCGCGGATGAAATTCTTCTCCGTGCCTGGAAACGGAGGATGGCCGTGCACCTACGTCGATAGCATTGCACATGAGACTAATTGAGTCATCTGCGAGGCAGCACCCACTTTTCCGTCTAAGTCCCCGTGGACAAAACGGCGAAGTGCCCGCGCCGCAATGATTTGATTTCGACGGGCATGGGGCAACTTGGTCCATTGATACGACCCTACGAAGTCGAAAGTAAGCGCACAATTCAACGGACACTTTGCTATGCACCGTCGTCTTTCATGATCCAGTATGTGTTCTTGTTTACTCCGTTCGCCCCTTCTTCAGCAGCTGCATCTTCGGGCTCGTACGGCTCTGGAAGTTCGCCTTCAGCAACGTAAAAATCCGCAGTGGTGCCAAGAATTTTGCCCCAGAAACGCAATTTCGTTGTGCCATGTACACTTGCCAACTTTTGGAGCGCCAGCGACAGTCGGAATGTTTCAGCTTTCGAAAACCCAATACCCGCCCACTCAAACATGTTTGCTTCGTCCAACAGGTCCGACACGCCGGTGGGTGTGTCTTGGGCAATTTCTCCATCTTCCGTTTGAATCTATTCGATAATGAGAGCGACAAAACATAGCGTGGGTACGTGCCTTGAGAAGTCCGATGGCGGCTTTGGTCCACGCCTCTTGGGCGGATTTCTACATGCAGTGAGTTTGGCGGTGCAACCGAAAGTAATCTCTTCTTACAGCTTCTGTATCCGCGGCCGCTTCGCTGTTGTTTGGCGACTCCGTGCGGTAGTACCGTTCCTGGCGTACTGTGCACGACAAATGCTCGAACATGGTAGTGGCGTCGATCGGGCGGTCGATTAGCAACTTGAGGAGTACTTCGGACAAGTGGTCGTACAAGTTGACTCCGCCTCGTTCTTCCTTCAGGTAAGCCTTCGCTTCGTCTAGGGTCAAGTTTGCGCTCGCCATGATGGTGCCTGCCGCGCGTAGAATCGATTGTTGTCGAAGTGACCTTTCCCAATGAAACCACCCAACGTCGATTGTGATTGGTCAGATGTCGATCCAAACCGTATCCGGATAATGCATTGACCGAAATCGCGCCAAGAGGACAAGGCGGGAGCGCCGTCGAGTTGCGAAGTGCATGAACTTCTCACAGTCCCAGGGAGGAGATAGCGAGGCCCGAGGACGTCGGTGTGAAAGAACAAAGGAATGGGAGTGTCAAATGTGCACGTTGCTCAACACGTACAAGCGGAAGACTTGCGCTGCATGTCTATCTGAGAGGGCAGTGTCTCCAGATGCATTGTCCCAAGCTGTCCCTTCCACGCAAACCAAGAAACGCATTCGACTACGACTGGTATCTCAAATCAATGAAAACGAAATAGACCATTGTTCCAACGACGACGACGACCTGGACAACATGCCATTGAAGTCAAAGAAAATCCACCGAGTGACACAACTTTCTCAGTCGACTATGGAAGCCGTGTCGACAGATATGCACGATGGCACTGATGAAAGGATCGCAGTTCCTAGGTCAATGACTGAAGAGTCGGTCTCCATCTCGGCAATGATGGATGTTGTGCGAAAGCCTGCGATTCTTCACGCGCCTCTGGACAACAAAGAGAATGAGGTCATAGCCGATGAGTCAACTTCACTTGAGACGATGCGTGCAAAAGCTACCATCATCCACGAGGAATCCTCCAAACAACTTGAGGTTAAATATCCAAGATCATTACGAAATCGACACTCTCTGGATGTATCCGTTCCACTCTTGAAGCGCCATTCATTGGCGGCATCAGTAGACTCGTTCAAAGCCATCAACGGTTCGGAAGCGTCAAGTGGAATAACCAAAACAAGTCCATCAACTAAAGGAAGCGTCACCTCATGTCAAGTACAACCTACCTCTGACTTGTTTGAGTCATCGTATCGCATTGCTACCGAATCGGATATCGTTTGTGCGGATGTCGTGGATGTGTCAGCCAGTACCTTGCCACCAGTTCCACTAGCATCTGCCAAAGCCAGTGCATTGGCAATTCATCACATGTCAAACGTTGAAGAAGTCACCTCGGCAAAGCCACGCGGTAGCTTCTTTTACCACATTTCCCAAGACTCGACAAATCTACTCCGTCGTCGACTGAGAAGGAAAGCTTGTGGCGCAGACGGCGGTCTGACTTCGAAAGCCCCTGTCAACGGTGATAATGAGATTACCCAGACAGCCATCGACATCATCAACTCGAAATGGCTCACTTCCAATCAAAGGAGGCAAACTGCTTCAACTCTGAATGAAGCTGGATCGGCCATTTCACTGCTTTCAGTTGTTGCAGATGGTAATCCTCCCCAGATTTCCCAAGTTGCAGAATTGAGCAACGTGCGTCGAACTTCAGCAATGTTCGATGCCCCTCCACCGCAGCCGTTCAAGCAAGAGGTGTCGGTGCTCAGTCAAATCAACGTCGACAAGGAAGTGGAAGCCCCGTCCTTTCAGTTGCTCAGCTTTTCAATGCCCTCCGCTCCTTTGGCTATCGCAGAAAAATCAATTCCTGAAACCATGACCCCAGTAACCAGCCTACCAAACGGCTCTCAAGGGGCCCCGTCGTTCGACTTGTTGTCTGGCTTCATTTCGAATCAAAGCAGAGCCACTCCCACCATCGCGGTCTCGCAACCAAGTGACTACCGACAAGAAGTCCAAGCCAAAGATGCTGTTGACGATGTCGCCCGACGACGCGACTCTATCTCCTCCATTTATTCAAAGACATCGCATATCGTAAATCATTTTGGAGCGACGAGCCCATCGACCTTCGTGCTAAGGTGCCCGACAAATCACCACTCTTCCGAATTGGTTACGTCTCAAGCGTCCAGCAACAGTGACATTGCGTTGCGTCAGGCAGGTTTAGACGACAGCTCAGACGACGAAGAAGTGAAACCGAGGAAGCAATTGAGAGCGAATCGGTTGTCGGTTTTGTCAACTTCTTCTACCGAATGGACGTGCAAGTGGTGCACGTATGTCAATGAGGGCTGTTCTACCATGGAATGTGAATGTTGCGGACAAACAAAGGGATCGTCGATGGAACAGCTAAAACAGACCCACACGACCAACAAAACTACACCGAGTTACCCCAAGCGAAGTGTCGTCAACGTATCGAATGACGATTCGTCGGACGCGTCATATGACGATGACCGCGATGTCGAAGGACCTGGCTGGATATGCAAGTTGTGCACGTATGAAAACGTTTCAAACCCTACGCGATGCGAGTTGTGTGATACTCCCAAAGGTATGCACAAGCTGAAAATATTTATCATGTGAAGATGTATGTGGCTTTATCTAGGCTCCACGATGCCTTCGCAAACTGAAATGGTGCAGTAAGTTGTGTGTCAAATCAACACCATTTCGGATCGGCATAATGGAAAATCGCAGGGAATACAACCACTTTGACGTCGACGACGTCGACATGGAGTTTCAAGTTTCAAACACCAACAACCAAGACGTTGTTGACCTGACGACGGCCAGCGATGGAACAAGGTATACGGAGTACGACGATGATTCCATCGAAGAAATCTCCGATACCGAGGTATTTGTTTCAAAACATCACGATGGATGGAATTTACTGATCTATGGTCATGTAGCGGGCGAATCCTTCTTCCCCTCGAGACGCCCCGGAGTTGCGTGAGTTTACTTGTTTCACCCCCGTGGCGACACTTCGCATAAAACGCGACAGCATCGACTACTTGAGTATGTTTGGTGCAAACAGGTACTTCACTGTTATCTGGCAATTGGTTGTCCTTACCAAATGATGTCATCCAAATAGGGGAGGAAAATCATACTCGGACCGTTTGCAAAGTCGGATCGCAGAATCGCGGAGACGTATAAGTGCTGAGGCACGCGGTGTCACTAAAACCAAGCCAGCCAACGGAAAGAGGAAAAAAGGATCGAAGAAAAACCGCAAATCGACTGGAACTGCTTCACTGCATGGTATTGGTCCTCTAAAGTCCTGTGGAGTGATATTCATACAGTAGAAAATGGTCCTGCCAGTCGTTCATTTCCCGCCTTTCAAAAGGCGTCGACAGCAGTGAAACGCCGTGCGCAACCGGCATATCAATTTCAATCGGAAAGTCCTCCACGAGACGGCGCGCCACAATTGTTGAATGCCAACCTACAGCCCAAATCCAGAACGAAATCTATGCGGGTCGTTACAGAGGAAGGTGACTTCGGTGCGTTCCGGTCGACGCGGTCATCGTTGCTATCCGCCCCTGTCGAGTCGATTCGAATGACAACGTGGGAGGGGCACGGGTCCATGCGATATGACGACGATTAAATTAATGTCCAGGGGTTTCCTCTCAAGGATATTTGTCGAACACACTGAAACTGTCCTGAGCGGTCCGGGACACCTTCGAGTAGTTGAGGAGCCCAAGAAGCCCGATGCTGCACGTGGCACTCACGACAAAGATCACGTCAAACCAAGACGCAAACCCGTAGTAGTCGATGCGTCCCAGCACCGCATCGATGTGCCGTCTACCAACACAAACAATGGAGAGTTACCTCTGATCAAACGTGGCCAGACACGTACTTGTTTTCCGCCTGCAGGTTCATCCGCATCATGACAAAGGACGAGACAAAATACATCCCCATCAGGTTTGCCAGCGACAACACAACCGAGTTGGACGACACACTGCTCGAAAAGAACCGAAAAAACTACCACATACCATTCGTCAAAAATGAACAACGTCGTCGCTGTGGAAAGAACCTTGAGGACTAGAATCAAGAACCCGCGCGTCTGCGTAAAGACGAGAATACCAACAAAAACCAAGGATGACAAGTTGGCAAGGAATCGCACGTTAATCTACACCACGATGCGTCAAGTCGGACAGTCTAATTAGACCAGTGACGTACCCAGGACGTGAGCGATGGCCACAGGTATAAAATCTTGACCACTGCACTCGTAATCGGGTCCGTGTCTCGATCGCGCCGAAACACGACGTTGATCGTGCTCATGATCATCTTGTACACGCAAAATCCGCAAAAGGCCATGCCAATCCAATTGAAGATGCGTCCCTTCAACGTGCGCTTCTCGACGGCCCGTTGCTGCATCCAAGGGGAATAGAGTTGTCACAGAGAGATTCCAGCGACAAGGTAAGCGATCTTACCTGCAACTCACGCATTGCATGCAGTTCGAGAAACAATTCTTTTCCCAGATTTTCCAAAACTTTCACTTCGCTTTGTAGGGTTTGCACATACGACTCTAGAATAGAACGGTGACAAGAAAGACCGACGAGGAAACTGGTCTACCTTTGTCTTCTTTCGGAAAGATGGCGCCCCACAATCGTCCCAGCGGGTTTAACGACCTTCCTGATGCTTTTCCTGCTACCCTCGCCGAGTGCACTTCGTACACAATTCGCTTCTTCTTGACCACGATCATGTCCAAGTTTTGTCGCACTCGTCGTTCAAGGCCGAGGATGTCGTCCTCGGCCACGCTGCGCCAGAACATCGTCATGGATTCGTACGGCATGTTGACAGCCCCAAAGCCAGACAAAACCGCCATGAAGTTTACCCCGAGAAAGCCAACTCGACTGATGAATCCCTCAAGCGTGAACAGGCCAAACAGGAACGAGGTATCCTGTGGAGAATCCCTGGTGGTGGTTCTTTCGTATGGCAGGGATGGTACATACTCGCCTGACTTCCAAAATGCGTAAAGGAAGCTCACTTCCAACACACATGTGACCGCAATAGCGTGGTAGCGACGAAGGCGCTTCTCTCTGGACATGGTGTAGAACAGCACAACAGGGATCATGTACGCGATAAGAAATGCGAGGCCCACAAGGTCGATTTGCCATACAAGCTGCCGCATCTCCGGCGTGAGGATGTCCGCGAGCTCGAAGATGAGAACTTCAAAGATGCTGAACGACAGCATGAACGTAACGCAGAAGAGAAAGCGGGAAAACACGCCTGTGTCCCTGACTTCGTAGTCTTGGAATAGCCACATGGAGAAGAATGCATAGGCGAAGAGGAAGAACGCGAGCCAGCTGCAGCCAACTATCACCAGCGCATCCATCGGCAGCATGTCTGCCGTCTCCATCAAGTGTCTGTCCCGAGTCGTATCTAATGCCTGGATTGGTGGAAAACATTCAGCGAATAGCAAATCAAAACGCTCTTGATCTCATATTTTGACCAATCTGACGTATTTATGTATGTACAGCGTGACGAACGTTGTGAAGGGAAGCGGACACGCCAACAACACGGCAGCAGGTGCCAGCACAGAGCAGTAAGTTGAGGGACAGTCGGAGTCCCTCACTCGCTCCACTTACGAGGATAGATTGTAATGTGTTTGCATCGGTTTAATTGGGTGGTATGGGTCCGCTTCTCCTAGCTATTTGTGTGACGTTTTCGAAAGGTCTCAATTGAGGTTCGATTTCCCGACGCCTCTTATCTAAATTGCACAAGCATTCCACACAACTCATGTTGTCCTTGGGATAAAACCAAGGGACACGATGCGAGACGGCACAATCGACTTTGGCTCTCCAGCGTGAATGTTCAAGCGCTATGTCGGGAGTACCACGAGCGGTCTCCACAAAGCCAAAGAAATTCCTTCCGTCGCATCGCTTTGTTCATTTCACCGTGTACGGGTGCTGTCCTCGAGGTCGCACTCTGCGTGGTTGTTCGACATGACTCAAATTGTACGAACTGTACTCTGTACGATGTACTAGTACATTCCGAGTTTAAAACATTACGTTTGTTCGTAATTGTCCAAACCCCGTCCTAACCATCCGCGCGTTTGATTGGTCAATCATAAATTCATAAGAGATATTAAAATTTAGGCGAATGGATACGAATGTCAAGTCAATTTTAATGGAGATAGAATCGAACAGTCCTCTGTGTTTGGGGTTGCACCAGCAACAATCAACTTTTCCACAAATCCATTTCCAAACAACGGAATATTCGGCGACCATGCCATCATGCCACCATTGCTGCGCCGAGGATGCCCGCTGTAGATGTGGCCAATGCAAGGCCGTGTACTTTTGCAACCGTGACTGCCAGATCCAGGCGTGGCCTACGCATCGACCTGAGTGCATACCCCCCGCAGTGTCGCCGTCGCCTTCTGATTCGTCGACGCACGTTGGCTCTGTCACACAGGACACACCCTTCACGCCGTCTTTACGTGTATCTCCTGCAGTAGTCAAAGCCGAACCGGTGCAGGTTAATGCTGCTATCGACGACGCAGTCGACAACGCAACGCAGGAGCCATCCAAGAAGTCGAAGAAGAAGAAAAAGAAGTCGAAACAGGTACATGTCGCTTCCCAGGAGTCGTCGGCGTCGTCGTCCCCGGACGAACACCCCACCAAGGCAGCTATCCATCTTACTGTGATGCCAACTGCAATGGTGCAATCGAAGAGTTCAAGTGTCAGCAAGGATGATTGGACTGCGCATGACACGGTGTCAAAGAAAGACAAGAAAAAAGCTGGAAAAGCCGGCGCGGCGAACCACCCATCCAAACAACAGCGCAGCCAGAGTTTGCCGGGAGGCATCATGTCCAAAGGACGGAGCTCAATTGTAAAAGCGAAATCGAAATCCATGATCGTCAAGAAGGGCGTGTCGTGGGGGACGGTGAGTGCTCGGGAATTCGCGCGATGTCCCGGCGGTGGTGGAGCCGTTCCCGACGAAGGCACGTGGGCTTTAGGTCTGGGAAAAGTCATCCATGACATCACGCTTGGCCCCGTGGAAACGATTGAGTTGCTGAAAGAAAATGCCGAAAAGAAGCTGCACAACCATGCACCACCCACGTCGCACCACAATCATCACAATCATCATCACAAGAAAGAACGACCCGCTGTTTTGCCAGGCGAACGCCTGCATCGGTTAAGCGAACGAGAGCGAAAAGAATTGCTCATGGAAGCGGAAGACAGCCATTGTCACGAAGATACCGTCGCCAGTCCGCCTAAGCACGAGCATTCTCGCCGCCAGCGTCGTTCGTGTACGTGTGTACGCGCGTATCGTGGCCGAAAGACTAACCTGGCTGTAGCATCTGAAGATTGCGACGCGCATGTGTTTGCCAGTCTGTGTTTGGAGCAAGCGACGGAATTCGCCGTCATCCGGTCATCGCGGGACGAGATGTGCGGGTGTTCGTGCGGTGATCTTGTGAAAAAAGTGTCCAAGATGCACGTCAAGAAACTCGTTGCGTGGCTTCACGACCGAGACGTCGACACGTCTGCAATGTCAAAGTCAGACCTCCTCCAGACAGCCAAATCGATTGCAAGTCAGGAGAAGAACTGCGCCACAGATGACTGCGAGTGCGCCCGCAATGGAGTCCCGTGTCACCAGGGTGTGTGCTCTGGCTGCAAAGACTCGTGCCACAACGACCGGTACACGTACAAGAGCGACGCAGTCGCGCAGTACCGCAAGGCGCAGTTGGCTCTGTGGAAGCAGTCGAACAATTCGTCGGCGATAGCTGTATGCTGATAGACCATGTCGAACTGGTGACAAGACAATAGGCAGCTTGACACATAAATTTTGCTGGCCTACAACACAACGTAGTTGTCGCGGGGGTGCTTGTCGTTTGTGTCGGACAAAATGGTCGAATTCTTCCGCGACTTAATTCCCACTGCTTCGCGACTGTCCTACTCCCGCCAACACGATCCTCAGCCTGTAACTACCTCGCTCGGACAAATTACTAGCAACATACCGCACGGAGGCGCAACTCGTCCGCAAACTGTTCCAGGGCACGCTGGCTGTTGGTTGCCGAATCGTCCATGTCGAAGATAAGACTGCCACGATTAAACGACGCGTTGCTGTTTCGGGAAGCACGGACCGCCGCGTCGGAGCTTGATTTGTTGAAGAGCTCGGCAAATGCGCCATTCGGTCGCCCCAGAAGCTCGTGGTATGTCCCGCGATCGATGATGCGACCGTTCTGCATGACCAAAATCGAATCCGCTGTCCGCGTCGTCGACAATCGATGTGTCACCTGCCAAGTGCTGCATCAGTCAAAGCAAACATCCTCGTGTTGTACCGAAATGACTGTCATGTTCATCTTCTTGGCCAACGACTCCAACGTGTCGATGATCGACGCCTCCGTCTCCGCGTCCAAAGCGGACGTGGCTTCGTCCAACAACAAAATCGTGGGTTTTCGCACCAACGCTCGTGCCAAGCAGATGCGCTGCGTCTGACCGCCACTCAAGTTGACTGTCGCGTGCTGGCCGACAATTGTGTCGTAGCCGTCCTTGAGCGCGTGGATGAACGCGCCGCATTCCGCCAGCTCGGCGGCCTTCTTGCACTCTTCGTCCGTCGCGTTCGAATTGCCAAATCTAGTCGGGTCTCAGGTTCGCTGTTCGACGTGCGACCGTACCGAATATTGTCCAAGATGCTGCCGTTCAAAATCCCGCCGTCCTGAAACACCACGGCGATCTGGCTCATGTAGCTCGACTTGGAATACCCTTGTAAATTGTGGTTGTCCACGGCAATGACGCCGTCCGACGGTTCGTAGAACTGCATCAAGCACCCGAGCAACGTACTCTTGCCGCACCCACTCGGCCCCACAATGCACACGTAATGACCCTACATCAAATCCAGGTGGGCAAATTCCAACGAAAATCGCTTGACTGCTCGGAACTATTACCATGGGAAACGTAGTTGTAATGTCCTTCAAGTTCCAGACGTCCGTCGTCGAGTCGTATCGAAAGTTTAGCTGGTCCACACGCAGCGCCTGCTCCATGCGTGGCATAAGCGGCAACTTTTGGATGCATTCGATCGTTTCACTCTTCTACACGTGAAAATGAAAAAGATCGGTGAGATACGGTCGAAACGACCCACACCATCCCTTACGTCGTAAACGATCTCGTCAAGGCGCTGGAGGCTGCTGGCATTCCCAATCGCGACGCGCATGAACCCGCCGAGGACTGTGACGGGGGTCGACACTCGGCCCAGGAGCGTCACGGCCGAGAAGAAATCCCCTGATGTCATGTCCCCCTGGTACACCTAAGAGACCGTTGTGCTTGGCTCATCCCGTATTTGGCATCAGCTTGCATTACCTTGGTCGCCATGCCGGCCGTCATGATCGCCACAAATACGTACATGGCGCTGTCCACGTAAATTTGCACGATGCCAGACCAAAAGTCCTTGAGGAACTGCGATTTGGCTAGCATGGTGGTCGACGTGGCAAATTTGGTCCGGAGCGACGGCTGGATGTCGTACGCCCGCACAACCTGTCATGACGTCTTGGATAAATCGGTCGACTACAACGATGGCGCGGGAGACGTACGTTTTGACACGCGATGGCATTTTGAAACTCCGCTGCAACTAAAGCATTATTGGACCCAAATTCTTTCGACCTTCGCGCCGCATGGACTTGGGGACCCGACGAAATGAGGACTGCGGCAAACCCGAGCGACGCCATCCCCACGGACGGCTCAAAATAGATGAGGAAGGCAAAGCCCGCGACGACCGACACGATCGGGTGCATTAGGTTCTACACACGTATTTTTTCGGCGTCAAACAAGCAAACCAACGGCCACCGCGTACCCAAAACACCGCCTGCCACAGCGCATTCACGCGCGCAACGTCCGACTGGAACAAATTGTTCAAGTCGCCTTCCGTACGCTGCGAGAAGAAGAGCGTCGGCTGCGCCAAAATTGTCTGGAGGAGCTTGCCTTGGATTTGCAACGTCGCCTTGGCAATCATTTTCGATTGAAAATACCCCATGAGAAAGTCCACGATTGCAAACGGGACGCAAATGAGCAGGATGCCCCACACGCCAACGGACAAGCTCGTCGCCGGATCAAAGTACGTAAAAGTGTCTTCCGTTCCGTTGGCAAGGAAAAACTTATTCTTGGCCATCACTTGGGTTTCGACCCACGTCCCGTTCACCCACTGGTTCGATACATTATCTAGTCGACTTGTCAAGAAAACATTGCGCGAGCAAGACGTCGTCCACGTACGAAAGCCAGACTTGAATATCTTGTTGACGCGGTTCGGAAACGCTTGATCGCCAAGGAGTCCCATAAAGTAGGCCAGCATCGGCGTGATCGCGGCATGCACCAGAACGATCACAATCGTGCACGCCAACGCCACGTGCTGGTTGGACCAGTGCCGCAAAGTTGACTTGACCACGTCGACCGCGCCGTACACACGCAGCGACGACTGCGCGTCCAAGTCCCGCAGGTGGCCTAGGAACGTGCTCGCCGTCATGCCCGCCGGACGATGGGCCACAGCTTTTTCAAGGAATTGCATGAGTTCGTTGTTGGTCATGTCGCCGTCCGTGCGGCCGCATATGATGGCCATATCGTGCTCCATGACGGCCACCGATGCCTGGGAAAGACCCCTCGTGTCGGACAAGCAGACAATATCGACGAGTGGACGTACTGAGGTGATGTTTGGGATGCGACGAAGGGCGGACCGAAGCGACCCCATGGAAATCAGCAGAGTTTCCGACGTCGTCTCGAGCTTCTTCGAGTACAATCGGACGGCGGGTTTGAGCATTATCCGCACGGCCAACGTGACGCAGTACGCAGCCGCGTAGTACACTTCGACTTGATTCGAGCGGTACTTTGGAAATACATGGCTTTCATTTTCCTTCAGGGGCTGGTCCTCGTCCAAGTATTTGACGATCACGACGACCTTGTTGTCGACGTTGTCAGCAAACATGACCCTACCGATCAGGAACGGGCTGTGGCCACCATGGAGCACAGGAAGATGCCTACCGTGCGGCCAGAGCCCCGCCGACACACAACAAGGCAAAGATGTCGCCCATATTTGCACTAGACTTGCACACATGCGTGCGTAGGCCAACCATTCGAAGCAAGACGTCCAAAGCGTAAACGCCAGTGCAACCTATCGACGCCAAGCGAAGTTTCGAGCTCCATTCCACGTAAGTGTAGTCGGCCGAGAGGAACGCGATCGCGGTCGAGTTGACGAGGTAATCTGCAACATGTACCAAGAGTATGCCATAGTGCCACACAGCGTGGTCGAGCATCTTGAGTAGGCCAAACGACACAGAAGGCGCAGCAGGAGGGTGATCCAATTTGTTCTTTACGCGCACTGCTTCATCGCCAGCCTGCTGGAAAGGTACAGCAGACTGCGAGTCGCTTCGGCTAGGGGTTCTGCTGCCGTGCCTCGGGGTCATCTCTGCAAAGATGCCTCTCGCCTAGCCAGTCTCAACAGATTTTTCGGTGACACCAACCTTTCAAACGTTTCCAACGTTTTCCAACAATTGTTTCGAACGGATGGGCACACACTTTACTACTAGTAATACGAAATAGTCCCTCACGCCGAATATGTCGAGAATAAACGTACTAACGTTAGTATTGAAATATCCAACAGAATTGCATCAAGCCCCCGAGCAACGACCTCTTGCCGCACCCACACTCGGCCCCACAATGCACACGTCGTCGCCTAAGCAATGCCATTCAAGAGGCTTCGATGATTTTTGCTGAGAAGGGCTGTTCGTCCCGTGGAAACTCACGTCGTGGAGGGTGAAAAGATTTGTCGGGTTGTATTCCAGGCAGTAAAAAGTGTCTTTATTGGAATAATTAAATTTCGAACCGTCTGCTATCGGTACAGG